ATATGATTAGCGCTTCCTTTTGTCTATCAGGCCTTGAAGATGTTGCGCTTTTCATTCTAGAATACTNGGGGGCGGGGTGAGTACGGTAACTGCAGTGACATTTGCCGCATGCCGCAAGGGAGAATGCCGCGATAGGGGAGAAGTTCCGTTACCCACACGTTATGTATCTTTGACTGCACTTTCGAGATCCCTTCCAAATTGGGCCGTTCAGTTAAGTTTCATCTAATGCTCTGACGAGAGGTTTGAATTTACCATCCGAAATGAAGTGAAAACCTGATAACGGATGGCATTCTACAATTAAAAAAAAGATGCCAAGTTTCATTTTGTTGAATGGGCTACTGCACTGGTCTAACCATAGCTAGTATTTATTGTAATTTCTTGAATATCATTGAAATTAAGAACTGGAATATCTGGACGTCCTCAGGCCACCGTCGGGTCTGCTAGCACAAATGAAACACACCGCTTTGAACTCATTGGATTCGCTTTGGCAATATTTTCTTAATAATCAGCATGATAGTCAGCGGCATTCCACCTCTCTATGTATTGCATAAACCCTTGAGAGTTCCTTAAAAGGCCTTCAAGTTTTCCCTGGAACCATGTGCAGTTGGGGTCCAAAAATTTGAAAAAAATTGATGAAATTGATCAGTAGCATAAGTTTAAACGTCTACCCAAATCCACATTAACTTTCACTTTGTTTAAATAAAATGCTCTCCAGTAATATGAGTAACTGCATACAAAATTTTATGCGATTCCTACGAAGTTCAGAATCTACCATGATAAGCTTCTAACATGAATCCCGTGATTAAGGGGCTCAGGGGAACTGAATAATCAAGTCCAAGCTCGAAGCGAAATGTTTCAACCAACACTTGAGCGTTCGTTTGAGAATATGATTAGCGCTTCCTTTTGTCTATCAGGCCTTGAAGATGTTGCGCTTTTCATTCTAGAATACTTGTTTTTCCGTATTGTTTCGCCTTCATTTGAAGACAGTGGAGCTCAAAGGTTAAATTCATCAGTTTCTGAACGATGGATACACAGATGGCACAGGGTTGATTTAGGAGTTGCGAGTATGACCCTTCAAAAGCCGTACTCTGTGTTCTCGTCCGCAAATGGATAGCGTCAAGCCCGGGAACATAGATTTTTCGAGGTGTAAGAATAATATGGAACCGACTCAATATTTTGAAATGTTACGTCAACACGATACTCAGGTGCACAAATCCATCATCACATTGTTCCTGGGACGGGTATGTGGGCTTACGTGCGTCCGAGGTTGCGCGAGGCGAAGTTCGTAACGATTTGAACGACTAGCGCCTGTCATTGGGGCCCAAATTTGACGTAAAGTAGACTAGAAGGCTCAATTGACCTTACTAAACTACTCCACTTCGAGTTTGTGCCCCGAAAATTGGCGTCAGAGTCGTACAAATCATCACGAACTTCGCCGCGCAAGTTGCCGCGCGCGTCCTCGGACGCAGGTAGTGCCCGTTCCCCTCCTGGGACAATAGCCATATCGAAATGAACCAGAACTTTTGACTTTAAAGGCCAGATAGTGCAACTGCATCCAAGCGTTGCATGGAGCTTACCTTGTTTTCTTTGTAGTTCTCAATCTGTCCGCCCGACTGTTTTCTCGATATAGTCTCTGTCAGCTCTTGCCTTTCCGATTCGACACTGCTGACTGCCCTAAAACATGGTGTCTTTTTCCACAATGTTCTTAACCGTCAACGGCGTACTCCGAAGTGCGGGATTTGGATGGTGTTCGAGAGGCCGGAAGAGTGTCAGAATCTTCTTTCAAGCTATCTTCTTACAAGCTGTTTTTCAAACTTTTCAAAGAACATTAGTCTGGGCTGATTATTATGTGCAGCCAACCTGCAGTTTACCCAAATGAAGGTTTAACTTCTTCAAACTCATGGCTTATTACAAAGTCTGTCGGGCAGATATGCTTTCCCAGGGACAGTTGAATAAGAACGAGAAAAAACTTTGTGTGATTCATACTACGAAACGAAAAGCTCTTGTTAGAGCCTATACAGATGGCTCCAAAAGATTGGGATATTCTTTTCAGACACGAGATTGTCGACCCTGGAGAGTACTCTTGGGATGCGCACCACCTGATTATGGGTACCGGGTTGGGTAGCTCGACAAAGTTGAGCTAAGAAAACTACTGACCCACTACCATTTTTCCCACTAACAATGACTTGTTCTGAAAGCCCTCCGCCTTGCCGAGGAAACTTTCCTTGGGAGGAGTCAAAACGTCTCTTACTGGAGCCATCCCTTCCTTCTAATTACTATCCGTTTTTTTAAACCTTAGATGTCTGACGAGGTGTGGGAGCCTGCCCAAATTCAGTAGCAACGAATTTATTAAGGGAAGAATTTTGAAAAGTATTGGGCAGAAAATCTGCGAAATTTTTGCGCACCTCTGAGAAAAAGATTTTTTTTACAGAATAACGGCACACCTGAGCTTTTCCTCGTTCTTTCGCCATTCTCGGATTGAACTTTCTGCCACATTATACTCCCGACCAGCAGCGCGATTTCCATTGCCTTTGGCGAACTCGATGATTTCCAACTTTTCGTCCACCGAATACTGCTAAACTTCAGGTTTCGACTCCTTTTTCAAGTGCTTACATGAGAGGTTTCAAGACATTTGCCCTGACTATGCCAACCTTAGATTTTGTCTGAGATAAATTTCAAAAAGGGCCAAAACGGAATGAGACCGAACTATACAGTTCAGTGGGTTTAAGCAGCCCTACGACTTCGATTCAAGCTGTCATTCGCACTACGCCATGAAGCTGCTGCTGTAGCTGCGTGGCGTGGTGTAATTACCAGTTCGAGTCGAAGTTGTTGAGCTTTAGTGGATGTGAGTTCCCTCGAACTCGATGCACATTGGTTTGCCGAGTATGAAAGTCGAGTCCAAAAAACCCAGAAATCTCTGATTTCCGTACCGTTCCTCTTTGGCCACCCAGGACAACTTTACACGGCTGGGAAGTACCATCAGGTACCGAAGTACCGAATTGCGCCATGGTCACTCAATCCTTTTTACTTCTAGCGTCATTTTCACGTGTTCCTTCTTATCCACCCCCCCCCC